ATTTAACATGAATATTTTTTAAAAAATTAATAAAAATCAAGTCATACGGTTCAATTAGTGACCCAGCGGTTCAACATTTAACCCACTGACCCAATACCCTAATTGATTTGATGACCGGTCCAATTTTTAAAACTATAATCACAATTGAAACATCTATAATGCTAAAGAAACAATGAAAAGAAATCACTTGTTAACAACTTATAAATATTACTCTGGTGCTTAGCTGGATTCAATGGTTTGAGAATTCTTGACTGTCAAAAAGTTAAATGAAACGCCTTTTGTTCAATACATTTATTGCTTTTATTAAAATTCGTATGATTTTAATATATAAACTTTGTCATATCGAAAAAGACACTAACAAAAACATCGAAATTGAGGCAAATTTGAAGTAACTTGGGGCATTTATCTTAAATGTAATTGAATGGAGGACTAGTTGTCAAATTTACGTTACAAACTACTAGCGGACCTCAAGATTGATAGAAACCACTTTTTTTAATCTCAAGACTCATAAGTTATCAATTGAATGTGGTAAAGTTCTTGCATGTTGAGAAAAAGTTGAGATCTGTGGATCTTGAAAAATTTTGAGCTTTCAAAAGAGAAAGTTTCCTTTAATTTTCTTACTCTATTTGTTCTGTGACTTTGGTTAGTTTCTTACTTTTTACTTCTATTTTGTGACTTGAAATTAGCAATATATGTTTGTTTATGGCATACTGACGGTGCTTTCTTGTTCAATTTTTGACTCAGGTTGGTGCTGCTTGTCTCTATGGGTATGTATCTTTATCATTTTCAAATTTTTTTACCAAAGATTATCTTTGAATGAAAATCATATATAATTTTTGCTTACTCAATTTATCTTAATACCATTTTCCATAATCATTTTTTTTTAATTTCCTACCAAAACTTTATGTTATTTTTCTTTTCTTCTTATTTTGTCATCCTATATACTTGTTTCTAACATTAAATTCTCTTCAACCATCATTCCCCTCATAAAAAAAAAAATTGTCGTTGTTGGTATCATAGATGATTGTGTTTAATTTACTTCTTACTTTGTCTCCCTTTAAGATTTCCATGTATGATTTGACTTGGATTAACATTAATCCCTTCAAATTCTAACATTTCCCCAATTCACATGCCTTTACTTTTGTGTCGATTAATGATTTTTTAATTGAAATGATACAATTGTTATTTTATAAATTGGTCACAAAATATTTAGATCAGCATATTTTTTATTTATTTATTTATCAATTTCATTTTTATCCAATATCAAAATTTGCATTTAGTCAAATTGTAGAGTTAAAGATTAGTTAAATTTAGTTGAATCTAACTCGACTCAACTTGTGACACAGTAAGAATTAATTTGATTTGATTTAGGGTCAAATTTTATTTATTTATTTTTCATTTATAGTTTAACTCGACTTCAATTTGTGAACTCAAATTACATAAATCAAACAAAATACATGAGTGAAATGATGTTTGTGTATTAATCATTGGAAGAATTATTAGTGGATAATATCATGTTTTTAATTGGAAAACACAATTACAGACTCCTTAACTAATCTAGCGCATAATTTATCTTTTGGCATTCACTCTTTTTTCTTCCTTGAAGTTTCTTTTATTATTCTAACTAGTTGATTCACCCGTCTTTTACACGGGATTTTTTTTATACGTATATTTTGACAATAACATATTATTAAATATATTTTTATTATTTAGTTTAAAAAATAATATAATTTATCTACTACATCAACATCAAAATATGCTTAAGTGTAAAAAAAAATGCTCATATAAATGTAAGTAAATAAAAAAAAATATACCATAATTTTTTTGACATAAATATGTAAGTAAATTTCTAAAAAAAGTTGAAAAGTTTTTAATTCTAATTTTATTAATGTGTTATTATTATTTTTAATATTATGTCAATTTTTAATAATTAATATTTTTATGTGAATTTTATAATTACTTTTACTTTAAAACTACAATAATTTAAAAATTAATTAAATTAATATTTTATGATGTCATTACTATTTCTTAAATCGATGTGTTATTATATCATATAATTGATATAATTTTAATTTTAATTTACAAAGTTTGTGTATAGAAACTTATAAGAATAAATTTTTAGAAAAAAAAAATTGTATATAAAAATTAATTTAAGAGGAAAAATTCATGTATACTAATATATATACTCACTCATAGAAGATAGTTTTATTCAAAAAGAAATTTATAAATATTTTCTATGTCATATTTAAAATATTCTAAATAAACAATCACAAAAATAAAAGAAAACTAGTAGGCGAAGATATAACTATTAAATTTAAGCAAATCATTTAAAATTAATGTAACTAAAGTTTTATGATCCCTATTGTGTTATTATATTATATAATTAATAAAGTTTTAATATAATTTTATTAATGAGTTATTTTTTAATATTATGTCAATTTTTAACATAATAATACATATTTTAAATAATTAATTTTAAGGGAATATTATTATTATTTTTACTTTAAAATTGAAATAATTTAAAATAATATCATTAATATTTTATGATACTGTTTCTATATTAATATTATTTTGCAGTTTTTTTTTCTATAATTATGCAAGTATTTCTAACTGATTTTACTTCTTTTTCTATATTAATATTACGTCAAAATATTTACATTAAAAATTATTAATATTTTTAACTTAAATTATTATTTATAAATTAATAATTAACATAACTATTAATAATTTTAAATTTATATTTTATGATATCAATAAAATTTTCTATAGTAATGCGTTATTATATAAATATTTTTTTATTTTATTCAAAAAAAATCATGAATTAAATTATTTTTAAAATTGTATATAACATATTTTTTTGGTTAAAATATATTAACAACTAATATAAATATATTTATATAATTTTTAATTTAATGTTTTTTTATACTATTACGGTTTCTATTTATTAATGTGTTATTATATAATTAATGTAATTTTAATTTCATTGTAAAATTATGTGAATACTCGAGTTATAAAAGAAAATTTGTTGGAAAATTTTGGAAGGAAATTCTTTATAGAGTAAATTAATTCTTTTATTTTATTTATAGAGTGATTTATTATTTATAATTCATTATTAATAATTTTAAATTTATACTTTATGTATCGATAATTTTTTTTTATATTAACATGTTATTGTATAATTAATATAATTTTAATTTTATTCAAAAACATCATGAATTAAAATATTTGTATTTTAAAAATTGTCCATAATGCGATTTTTCTTTGGCTAACATATATTAACAACTAATATAAATACATTTATACAAGTTTTTCATGTAATAATTAATTATATTTATAATTTCTTGTTTATGTTACCGTTATGGTTTCTATTTATTAATGTTTTATTATATAATTAACATGATTTAATTTTATTGTGAAATTATGTTGATAGTCAAGAGTTATAAGAGTTTTTTATACAAAATTTTGAAGGGAAGAAATTGTTCTCTTTTTAGATTTATACATAGATAAGATATTTTGGGTCTGTCAAAACCCAGACTTGTCAATACCAAACTTGTTAATCTTTTGCTTTTTGTTATTGGACCTTTCGGCCTGCCTCAGTTAAGAAAATTGATATTTATGTAATCATCAATCATATTTGTGCCTGCTCAGACATGCTTCAATAATGTTAAGTAGGAGTTCTTATTGTAAGGAATGAAAATATTTAATTACAACCATTAAATTGAAATTAGTGGTTCAAATGTCGTATTTAATAATAAATATCACATATTTTCTTTCCTTTTAATTAAAGATCATGTAATATTTGTAATTAGATTCACAATTTGATAGTCAAGGAATTAGGTATGAGTGGTTAATGTGTTGAAATCAAGGTTGAATCGTTCGGATAATATCCGAATTCAATCCTTGACAAAAATAATTAATTCTTGACCAGAGTTCACTTATCTCCAAAGCTTATGGAAATGGAGGGGAACTCACACATCCAAAGTTTTGTGAAAGACAAGGAACTATTCAAGACAAATGCTACAAGGAGCAAGAGTCAAGGTATAAGGATCAAACATAGGACATAGACTTGTGTCCTATTATCTCCTTCTCTAAGGAAAAATTTGAAAAATGATGTGTACCTTGGAAGAGTACCCTCATTGTTCTAAGGCTAATGCATTGTTAGCTGATCATTATATAGTTCATCAAAGAAAACCATGTTGATGTGGGAAAGATATTTCGTCAATGAAGAATGTGGTGCAGGAGATAAGTGTTTGAAATAATTATGGAAGAAAGAACGTACGGATCAAGGAGGGAAACTAATCAGAGCTCAACAATTTTTCAAAGAATGGATTTTACTTGGATTTGAGTACATGTGTGACACCCTTACTACCCCAACACATATAACGTAATAATGTAATTAAATTAAGAAAATAAAATTCTCAACGTCGGTAAAAGGGTTCACATAAAAACCTTTAGAAACGTTCTTTAATATCTAAAATATTTTGAAAATGAAACTTGGAAGGTAAAACATAAGAGGTTACAAAATGTTTTCAAAATAATAAGTACAACTCCATATATAAATAAAATCCATGTCCTAGAAATCATCTGTCCCGATATCACAATATCAAAAACATACCCATAATTCAACAGTTGGCATTCTAGATGCCACTCAAAGCCGAATCTTCCTCACCTAAAACATCTACAAATTATACAGTGAGAAAAGAAAACAACTATATGTAAAGCACGTACCAACACACCACAATATAATCTCATCATAACTCATTACATAATGAAATATTTACAATCATTTTTATATATCATAATTCTATCAATCATGCAAAAACTTCACATCACAATTTCACAATCACACCAATCCATCACAAATCTTGCAATTAACATAATGCCAAGGTCACGCCTGTAGCATCTCTTACCTGAGGTCGTGCCACCCCCGACATAAGCATGAGGAATCCCCCATCCCATACTATGCCAAGGTCACGCCTGTAGCATCTCTTACCTGAGGTCGTGCCACCCCCGACATAAGTATTAATTGCCTCACACATCCCACCCTATGCCAAGGTCACGCTTGTAGTATCTCTTGCCGAAGGTCGTGCCACCCCCGACATAAGCATGAGAAATCACACATCCTACACTATGTCAAGGTCACGCCTGTAACATCTCTTGCCCAAGGTCGTGCCACCCCCGACATAAGCATGAGGAATCACCCATCCCATACTATGCCAAGGTCACGCCTGTAGCATCTCTTACCTGAGGTCGTGCCACCCCCGACATAAGTATTAATTGCCTCACACATCCCACCCTATGCCAAGGTCACGCTTGTAGTATCTCTTGCCGAAGGTCGTGCCACCCCCGACATAAGCATGAGAAATCACACATCCTACACTATGTCAAGGTCACGCCTGTAACATCTCTTGCCCAAGGTCGTGCCACCCCCGACATAAGCATGAGAAATCACACATCCTACACTATGTCAAGGTCACGCCTGTAACATCTCTTGTCCAAGGTCATGCCACCCCTGGTCACTAGTGTGAGGAACCACAATCACATTCACATTCACAACTCAATTCCACAACACATACACAAAATCCACACAAAATAGTGGTTCACCTACCCCTCAAGCAATTCACCATAAATCTTCATCTAGATCATCAATTTTACCAAACAATGTAATAGTAATATTTATAAATTAATATAAAACCAGATTAAATCACCAATTTAATAGAATCATAACCCAAATAATAAAATCCCTAATTTTTTCAAAACCTAACTTACAAACACTTTTCTACAATTTCGTTCTCTCTCCCATATCATCATTTTTACAAATTGAATATATATATTCATGATCCTTAACACATACAGAATCTAATAATATCAATAATTCTTCAAATAGAAATAATTATAAAATTATTAAAATTTCTACAGGAACTCTTCTCCACCCATTCTCTCATGTGACTCTACACATAAATCTCTCATTTTTCCTCGTACCTCGTTAAGTAGTAACTGAAACTAAAATAGAGATCTCCTTGGTCTCCTCCTCTGAGTGCCCCTCGGTCTTCAGAGAGTGTAGAAGGAAAAGAAGAGCATGTAGAAGATAGAAGTAAGAATTGAAAGAAGTCAGAACTGAGAATTGTGATTTTGGGAGTGCCAGAGCGCTCTATTTATAGGCATCAAGCGTCGCCGGAACGGCCCGTTTCAAATCCGGAACGGCTCGTTCTGGACTTTTACGTTATGTGTAAAATTTCACATCCAGAACGGCTTGTTCTCAAACCAGAACGGCCCATTCTGGGGTTGCATTTAACCTATAACGGCCATATATGGAACGACCCGTTCCCAATTAGGGTTACAAGCCTTTTGTGTAATTTGGAACGCCCCGTTCCAATTTAGGAACGCCCAGTTCCCAACTAAAATTTGTAGACAATTTTAGTATTTTGGAACGGCCTGTTCCAATTCGGGAACAACCCGTTCTGAGATACTAAATCACCCTCGTTTTAGTAGTTTGGAACGGCCCGTTCCAATTTGAGAACGGCCCGTTCTGGGCTACTAAATCACCCCTATGGGGCCTTGGGCTTTCGTACAATCGATAAAAATCGGGCTATTACAACATGCATGGTACTTGTGGATGCTATGAGATAGCAACACACATGAAGGATTCTCATCAAGATTGTCTAATATTAAGGTGTTGGCAAGTATTTAGAAAAAATTTAAATCCTGCATCGACTAGTGATATAACCAAAATATAATGTATAAATGAAGGTTCTACATCAACTAGTAGTATGACTAAAATATAATGTATAATTAGAGGATGACCCTTTTAACGAATCAAGCCAATAGTATTGAGCATGGGAGGATATATTGAAAAAAAATTCAAATCTAACCTATCTAAAATCATTAAAGAGTCACTCATCATTTATATATGTAGTAAGCCTAATAATATTAGGCATGAGGGGATATATTGGAGAAAAACTCCTACATCAAATAGAGATAAGGCAAAAAAAAAGTATATAAGTGAAGAAAATCATTTCTTTACAAACTAGTTTTATAGAGTTGAGTGAGAGTAAAACCTACTTTCTAAAAGTAGATGGCAAATTAGATTTGGTGACATAAGGAAAGTTAATTATTTATGATAGTCAAATTGAAATTTTCTAGTTTTTAGTGCCACTAACAAACTTTTTTTTTCAATGAATATCCTTTGTTGGAATTGTAAGGGTGCTCAAGCAAAAGTTTTGTAGAGGGCTATGTAGATATTGTGAAAAAGTTTGATGTTGTCATTCTTTGCCTCTTAAAGACCCTCATAAGTGGCAATATGGGACAAAAAGTCATCCTAGAAATTAAACTGGATAGTTACTTAATGGTAGATGCAATAGTTCATGTAGGAGGAATTAAGTGTCTTCAGAAGTCAGGACTCCTCTAGATAGCGATTGGAAATCATGTATCAGTCTAATTAATTTATTCATGTGAGAGGACAAAATTGTAACTCTCAACCTTGGTTGTTAGCAGTGGTTTATACTAGTCCTTATCCCCAACAAAAGGGTTGTTGGACCTAAGATGAACCGTGGAGTATTATGAGTAACTTGAATGCAGTCCTCAAGATCCATGAATGAGTAAGTGGTTCTACAGTATGCTCTCTGAGAGTGGAATAAATCATCATTTGGAAATATTTATGCAACCAATAGGAAGTTCCTCAGCAGACTTAATGGAATAGCAAGGATTTTATACTATAATTATAATCCTTATGTTGAACACCTTCAGGCTAAGCTATGGGTTAAATGCGCAAACTTTAATCTGAGAGGAGCTGTCATGGCTCTAGAAATCCATCTGCAAGTGACTTTACCTTGGTGATAAAAATACTCATTTTTTCCATAGCATGACAGATTATCTGTAGAAGGAAAAAATAGAATTGGAACACTCCATAATGAGGGACAATGGGTTCCATCTCAAGAAGCTTTGAAGGAAATGGAGACAGATTAGTATACAGTACAATTCCATCACCATGAGGTTTATGTTCATGTCGCTTATTGTCAAATAGGTTTCTTAGAGTTAGAAGAACAGGATTTTCAAGACCTTAGGCTTATTTCTATAATGGAATTTTAATTTGGAGCTTTAAGTAATCTCTTACCAAACTCGATGGAATATTGTTGGACCTGCTTTGTGCAATCTTGTTCATGACATTGATGATAATCCTCACAAGATAGGCAAAGTTAATGAAATATTCATCACGCTTGCTCCTAAAGCTGAAAATTTGGTTTCCCTTGAGCATTTGAAGCCTATTAGTCTCTGCGATGTCTCCTTCAATGTGATTACTAAAATTCTGGCTCATCGACTTTGATTAGTGACGGAGAAGGGTTGATGAGTCCCAACCTATACAATTTTGTGCCTAACAAACATACTAATGGCAACATCATAATCACTCAATAGATGATTCATTTAATGAGATACAAGAAAGAGATGAAAAAGTTATATGGTGATTAAGATCAATCTGAACAATGATCTATGATAGACTCAAATGTGCCCTTGTAAGATATGCTCTTGCTGATATTTTTCTATTGAAAACATGTATTATTTTCCTATTGAAATATGTGTATCATTTTCCTATTGAAATACATATTTTTAGTCATTGTTATTGTTTTTACTCATTTAAGTGTGATATGAAAAATAAATGCATGATGCATTACATAACATGATTATATCAAGTCATTTTTTATTAGAACCAAATTAACTTGAGACTAAAGACATACATTTCAATAAAATCAAAGATCAAGTACTTTTTCAATATCAAAATTGACTAAATTTTCAAGAAAGGGAAAAACATATTTAAGGCAATGACGTAAATAGAACGTGCAATATACAGTCTAACTTGTCAAATGCATCTCCTTATACATATAGGGTCTACAAGAAAACGAATTAGCTTTGAAGAAGAAACAGAATGTACAGAAAGAAGAAGGAGTAGCAGAATTGTTGCTTTGGAAGAGAAGAAGCTGCAGGAAAGAGAGAAGAAGCTAGCACAAGCGTTGGAAAAGAAGAACAATGACATCAGAAACAAAGGAAAAGGCAAGGCAAAAATGGAGGTATGTGATAACAATGAGGAAGAGGAGGGTCCAACAAAGAAGAGACGTAAGAGCAAAGAACTTTATCAATTGATCTCTTTAATTAAGGTTTGTCTCCATAATTTTCATTTTGTATTATGAATGTCTTAATTAAACAGAGTATAAATTTTATAAATGTCACTTCTTAAATGTAAATGCATCTTCTTTACCTTTCCTGATTATTTTACTGATTCTACATAGCATTTATTATTTGCGAACCTCACAATATGAACCCATTGTTGGACACAATATTATGAGTTGTAGTATATAGTTTACTAGTGTCAAAATTATAGTTGCATGAATGATATAGATATAACCACATGTTCTGTATTTCCATTGTTTATTCACTTTTTCTGCCACTTCAAAGTCAATACAGGAATTAGGAAGACATGAATCAGGTGCTTCAGAAACAAATGGTATGCTTATAACTATCTCAAGCAAGCACAAGTGTATTTTTAAGTTACACCTTAGCCATTAACTATGATTTTCCCTTAGTATAGTGATATATTAACAATTGTTGTACTTTTGACTTGCAGACTCATCTCTGAATGGGATGCCACTAAAGAAGATCCTTGAAATTATCGTTGATTTTCTACAAAGGTAAAAATTATATTTGGTTATGATTACTTTTAAGTGACTAGAAATGGATGAAATATATAATGTTCCATTACAAAGATCTCACTGCAATATATCCATATATAAATAATTATAAAGTCGTTTACATGTATGCAGGAAAGACCCGCAAGAGCTATTTGCTGAACCAGTTAATCCTGATGTGGTTAGTTGTTTACCTTTAATTTGAAGATCTAATAAAATATTTCTTGTCCTTTAGATCACTGAGCTTTGTTAGTTCTGTTGAATACTTACTCTGAAAGGTGGAACATTACTATGACATTATCAAGCAGCCAATGGATTTCGGTACCATGAGGGCCAAACTTCATGAGGGCATGTACACAGACCTTGAACAGTTCAAGGTTTGAAAATCATCATACTTATTATGATTAAATTACATCGACAGTATGAGGTTTCTTCAAATTCTTTCTATATCTTTTTTTTTTTTTTTTTTTTTTTTTTTTTTTTTTT